ATATTATTGTTCTCAATAAAACCAGCATTTTAAAGACATTAGATTTCTCTGAGTGGGAATGATTTGCTTATCACTAGGATGATACTCCTTTGGACTGTTAGTAGCTGTAAAAGCCTTATCCAAAGATTGCAAGCCAACAGCACTACATTAAGAATCCCGAGTGAAGGGTGCAGATAGATGTAGATGGCAACATAAAACACACTCCACCTTCAAACGTTTGGAAGTTTTACTACTGAGTGACAGCTGCTATATGATTACTAGTCAGGCATAAGTACACAAGAAAACATTCTGAACACAAATGCATAACAGGGTGATCTGCGTGACTGCAAGAAATCCATGGTTTTGACTCCTTGAATTCCACACCAGTGGACATCAACACAGTGCTCTCACTTCTCTGGCCTTAAGAAACATGCTTGAGCTATGTCAGCCTTAAGACGATCCACAGGAAGCTTTCATTGAAAAAGCCAAAAGAAATCTGTATGAAATCATTGCGCCTACTTCATGCCCTGCACAACCCTTTCCTATCGGGCCCTGCTTTGATCCCTGTTTATGCTGGCCAGCTCTAGGCCTCCCAGCGCAGAAGGGCTCTACACAGATGTTACACTGCTAAACAGCTTGTCAGCGGAGGAAGCTGGGTCACTTTTCCTGTAGGAAAACCACCAACAAAGTAATTTTGTCACAAAAGTCTAATCTTGCTCTTTTCCGAGGCAGGATGCTGGACACAATTCTAGCAGAAGAAATTTTAAGCTGCATAATAATGATCCCTCCTTAAACCTTTCACAAAAATCCAAGTGTGGATTTCATTCACCATTAAATAGATTAAAAAGTCAGAAGAAATGATCTGCTAGTAACTTATCACACTTGACTGAGGAGTCATCCATGTGGAGCTAAATGATTGCTACTTGTCTCCTATAAAGATATCCCTTAAGGAGGCAGATGTCCACAGAGAAATTACTGAGTTTCTGTGCTCTTACTGGAAAAACTCCATCTTACAATAGGATTTTGTGCAGTTTTTGTGCCACAGATAGAAAACAGATAAAGTCCTTTGATCAACTATAAGCCACCAATAACAAGCTGCTTGGCAGACAGAATTAAAGGGGGTAGGACCTCAAGTAGCCGTAAGACTTACACTTCTGCTTTAAATTCTGTGTTCCCATACATTAACAAATCTAAAGCATATGATAAGACAATGATCTTCTATGTCAAATTCTTTCTTTCTCGAAACCAGCAAGAAACGAGGCACTGATGTGTTACTGTCCATTTTATCACAGATAAAGAATTGCAGGAATAGGGAGTTCAGGTCAACTCTTTAAGGTCTGCCAATTTCAGCACTCTGCAAGCTTACAATTTAACCTAATCAAAGTTCTGAAATTATGATTGAATATGGAAATGTACTGGCTAGAAAGTGAATCTGCCAACCTCAAAGCACTTCATTTTTCATAACTCTGAAGTCCTGCCCCACTAAAAAACGCATGCAGCAGTGTAGACCCCACTGACAAGGAGCACCATACAGATTTAAACGCAGTGTGACCTCTAATTGCATTGAAAATGCAATTTTGAAAGTCACCAGTGAGGACAGAGGTGGTGGAAGAGGGGAAACCAGTGACAGCAGGATCTGCTCCCCAGAGCCCAGCTCTTCCCACCTGACCGATGCCTGCCTGGCCAGCACATAGCTTACCAGTGGTGGAGAGCGTGCTTGTGCTTAGCCTAATAGTTCATTAAATCCTGGCTATCTTCTGTGTGTGCTAGCCAATAAATAACCACTGTATGCATGTTAAGTTGTGCGTATCCTGCTGCACCCAGCTATAAATGACTGAATAAACCGACGCAAAAGCAGGGCCATAGCAAACACACTGAAGCCATTCCTGGAAAACTCTACGGAAAGAAGACTAATTAATTATTTAACATGGGTAGCAAATAAAGCAATATACAGATATTGGGGAAAATGGGAACATTGTAGGTGGTTTTGAAAAAGAACACTAGTATCAGTTCAGCCATGGGCTCTCTTATGTAGCTTTGATCATACTGAGTCAGCTTTTGTGAAAAATTACCCCAAAATCTTACCCAACCCAAAAAATCCTACAACACATAGAATGCATAACATTTGACTATGTACCTTAGTAAGTCTATGGTTAAAATGTCTTCTTACTAGGAAATCTTGTAAATATAGTGGGATAGAAAATACTAGTCTTTTAATCTTTTTTCTCTATTCTGTTCTTACTCAGCTAAAATATCTTTAAAACTTTCTACTGGGTGAGTTTGTCATTGAAAGCATGGCCAAACTTTTACATGGAATCTTTGATTTCTTGTGCTTTTCTGGCCAAGGACTTTCTGAGCAGCAGAAGAGAAACCTTCCTGCTTGCTAAGGATCCTGTGAATGAACACTACCACACTGAAAACCATCACATAAGCAAGTACAGTACGGGCCAGTAACTATTGTTTTGATAGCTTTTCTGTACATTTTTGCAGCAGTAGAATGTTTCATCTGACTGACTGTATTTGAAAACTGCAACAGCATATTAAGCATTTTTTGGGGAAATGCTAAATCAAAATCTCATTTGAAAAAAGGCTGAGAGGTGAGATGCTGGTAACACCATCATTATCAAGGGCTTCTACAATGGTCTAGAGATGGAAACTCCCAGAAAAGCAAGCATAATGAGCCAGTTTCTTCCTAAAAAACTGAGTGTCACTTTGCTCTGTGATGCAGACAGTAAAAATAAATTGTTTTAAAGAAAAATATTAGATTCCCAAAATACAGTCAATTCAGTATAGCTGTATCCAAGAATTCTCCAGCAAGACGCGTGGCTTTCTATGTTGTAAAATGAACAAGGCAAGAACTACTTTACCTAGATTTTACACAGTTGCTAAAAATACAAGCAGCAATCTCAAGTAAATGCCAGATCCTTAGGGAGTTAGAAAAATAATTTAATTCTTTCTTTATTAAAAAAACCCCACAGCAACTTCTGTTTCTAAATGAGCTAAAAAAATTTAAAATGCAAATAACATGATCAGCTAACACCAGTTCAAAAAGGAACTGAGAAAAAAGAAGTGATTTTTGTGACTAGTAGCCCTATTTCTACCATGCAAAAAAAAAAAATCAGTAATGGAGAGCCATAAAAACATCATCATAATTTGTAAAATGCTGTCTACATTTTTAAGATATTTCTAAGACTGCAAAGGTCAAGAATATATACTCCAGTGATTGAATATGAAGGAAAGAAAGTCTAGATTAACAGCATGGAAACTATGTGTTGAGTTGAAAAAATACAAATTTCTAATTTTGTAAGTAAAATCAAGTCACATATACTTTGACATATCTTAAGCTTATTCTGTTTGTAGACATTTAGAGGTAAAGAGGTGCCTGAAGCTGTCAGCAACTTTAATTATTCCAGATCTATTTCTTGCAAATGACACAGGAAGGAAAAAATAAAAAAAAGGAGAAAAAAAAATATCTAATGTCCTGGATAGCACAAGATAGGCTGAAATCAAGTTACTGTACATCACTTATCAATGAAAAGCATACAATCTTCCATGATGACCTTTTAAAAACCAGTCATGGACTGAATTCAACACTTTATTTCTGAAATCTTTCCTTCATACATTATGACTTTCAAAAAGGTTTTGATATTGTATAAGTAGCACAAGCAGAACTAAATATGGTTGTAAGTGTGTGTGTAATGCAAAAACATCCAAAATTTAACAGAAATATTTGCTACTAGCATGTCATATAAAATAAAAGGTAACTTTATTTTTAAAAAGTGCACAAAGGCAGATCATTAGCACATATCAGTATTTGTTAGGATGGATAAGCATTTGTAAAAAAAGAAAACACATTATTCTACACACTATAAATAACTAACAATGAAATACTACCTTTAACAAATATTGTCTATGCATGAACTAAATTATGTTTTCAGTCAAAAAATACATATTATTTAAACACACATTCTAAATTCCATGTATTTAACTGAATGTACTACTTTTCAAAAAAAAAATATCACAGCATATATCTATAAAAACACTTACTTTCTCAATTAGAATTGTTTTTTGTATTAGCCCTGTATCAGCTGAATATTTACATGTGTTTAATCTGAGGCATAAGTCAGTTTTACTCATTTCAGTGAACAGCAGCTCTTGTACTGAAACGCAGACAAGTACTTAAATACCTTACTGGAGCTATGTCACTGTGAAAGGGTACATCAACACATGCAGAGCTTAAACTATATCTGTATCTAAAATACTTTCCTACTTATCTTTGTAAAATATTACTCTAAGTATACTCCCGATC